TGCTTTTTCTCTATTATACAACGTCACAGTCACATCAAAGGAACTCTAAAGTATAGATATTTTTTTCCAAGATACCTTCACTTATATCATCATCCTTCATGGATGCATTACCTCATTCTCCCCTTACCTTGTGCATCGCCCAGGTTCAGTTTCTTTATTTTATATTGAACGCTCTATCAGATGTACTGCATCTATAAAATAGCACCTTTCAACAAAGGATATAACATCACTTGTAAACAGACACAGCTTCTAAGGAGCAAGCAGTCTTATGGGACAGTCATTAAGTGCCCCCATGATTCAAGGCCTTCCTAGGCTATGATCAAGAAAGTTGCTAATCATGCATTGTGACTGTAGCCAGAAGTGCCCCTCCCCTTCTTTACCTGTTTGCTGATGTTTCAAACTCCTAGCAGCCACCAAATTTTTTCATTCCATTGGTGAATTTACAACTTTCAATGACAATAGGCTGAAGAAGAGTCAACACAATGATGTTAGTTAATAGGAACTGATTGCAGGTCTTTTTGATGGTAAAGAGACTTGGGACCTAAGGTAGTGAGGAGGGAATCCCTCTGAGGAAGGCAGGGCACAGAGGGGCCAGGCTGCAGGCATCTGATGAAACTGTCCCACACTGGTCTTGCTGAAATGGAGCATCAGCTGACAGCAACCCATGTGGTATCACATTAAAAAGGACTTATTGTGGGCTACCCTATCCACTCAGTTAGTATGTACATGAAGTCAGGAACAAATGCCATCTAATCCTAAGCAGGCATTAGGCTTCTGTCTATTACAGGTAGGCCACTTACTAAACAACAACAACAAAACAAACAGAAAAAACTCAAATGTATACAACACTGAATTATTTGGAAAAAAAATGGGTAATGGGGGTGGCAAAGTTTAAACACACTCCTAATCAACCTGCCATTACCTCTTGGATGGGCCCTGCAAGTGTAAATTATAGACATCAGGATAAAGTGACGGATGCCTAAGAAATCACAAAAAAATGGGCTGAACTCCAAATAGATATCATGTTGGATTCAATCTGGTTTTCATTTTATAAATATATTGGCTAATGTGTTTCTCTTCACAAATAGATTTCATATCTATCCTTCAAGAGTAGGCTCATATGCCACAATCTCTTGGATAGCTTCCTAGATCCTCCAAATGAAATTTCTCCCACCCCTTTGGCACTCTCATCACTCATCTTTAAGTCTCTGTTTTAGCCTGTACTGTATCCTATCTTTGCCTTAGCTTTCTGTGTCCATGTTTTATAGGCCCTATTTAACAATAAGCTCTGTGAAGACAAGGTTTCCACAGAACCCTGCCTTATCTGTAACTTTTATTTGTTTAAGGCTATAATTTACATTTTTTTCCATATGTGTAATGGCTGCATTTTTCCTTTCCCACAAGCTCCATAAAACATGGAATTGTGTCTGTTCTATTTTCCAATCTAAATATAGCATACTTCCTAGCACAATATTAGCATATAGTAGACATTCAGTAAACATATTTTAGTTAACGTATTTCCGTAAACATAGTTTAGTCTAGCAAACACAATTTATACCAAATAGGATTTCAAATAATGGCTAAGTACAGTAGATATGAATTGAATGGACTAAAACTAAGATGCAAACACTAAAGCCACGGTATAAAAACACACATTTGGAGTAAATCCTGAATCAAGAAGACAAACTCTTCAGCAAGACCCAGGGTCAGTGGCCCCCAAACATTATTTTTTTATTTTTAGAAACAGTGAGAAAGTTTGCATTTTCTGCTTGAAATAATGAGAAAGTTTGCATTTTCTGCTTGAAATCTTTCCTTTGAGTGGCCTAGATTTTCTTCACCTGTGAAATCAGTGAACTTTCCTTAGACTCTATGGAGATGTTTCACTTGTGACCAAGGTGGGAGAATCATGGGGACACTTAAGAGAAAAGGTTTATTAGGTGATGTTATTGTTTAAAGAAAACAGGGAAATTACAACCAAAAATCTAAAACCATATAATCTGGTCACAAAGAAACTGAGATTATAGATTTCTAACTAAATGTGTCCCTCCTGCTCTGCAGAATGATGTTTCATGGAGATCTCTGATTCTAAATGTATTGGGTAAGGGAAATTTTTAACACGACACTAGATTTCTGGTAAAATACACCAAGGAACTCTAGTGGATGTTTGAAAATGGAATATCTGATTTCTCATCCTGAGATGTCACAGCAGAGCTCATGGGAGTCAACTGGTCCTAGATAAGTCTTGATGAGTAGTGGTGCCTACATGACATACAAGATAATCAAAGCTTTGGATGTAAACAAATATCCTCGAAATATAGTGAACACTATGCCAAGAGAGTGAAGAATATTGCTTATAACAGCAGCTGAGAAACAAAGTTTCTTGGTTGGCCAAATTTGTGAACACTATGCCAAGAGAGTGAAGAATATTGCTTATAACAGCAGCTGAGAAACAAAGTTTCTTGGTTGGCCAAATTTGTATTGAGTCAGCAATGGCCATTATTCAGCCTTCTTCTCTAGCTGGGGAAACCAAAATCAAAAGTGGCACTCAGGATATTTTCAGAGATATAACAACAAGCCCCAATTGTTTTTCAATACCTCCTTTCCTCCTCCCATATTCAATACAAGAATCATCTAGCCCAGGAGACTTCTTAGATTCTACTTCCCCAAAGCAAATTTAGTTGCCCCTTCCTCAGTGCTCCCAGTAGCACTTTAATTGTATCAACCTTTTTATACGTTACTTTTCATGTCCTAACTGCATCTGTCTCTCTTAGACATGACTTGTTTTATAGAGGGCAAGCATCATGTCTTATTTTTTTATACCCCAGAAATCCAAAATAGGCATGGAGTTGGCTGGCATCAAAACCAGCCCACCCACATCTCAGTTACAGAGAGAAAAAAATGCCTCTCACATAGGGGACATGAGGCCTCAGTAAGAATTTTCTGACTGATTACTGTGTGGCAGGCACTGCCCCATGTGCTAGGAATAACATTAAAGTAGCTAAGATCTTACTCTTCAGGGGACATTAAGAAGATAAACCCATCAACAGAAAGATTATTTTTGGTCATAACGGGTGATATGAACAAAATAAAAATGGGCCGAAACTGGTTTGGCTCAGTGGTGAGCGGACTGAAAGGTCCCGGGTTCGATTCGGGTCAAGGGCATGTACCTTGGTTGCAGGCACATCCCCGGTAGGGGGTGTGCAGGAGGCAGCTGGTCAATGTTTCTCTCTCATTGACATTTCTAGCTCTCTATCTCTCTCCCTTCCTCTCTGTAAAAAAATCAATAAAATATATTTTAAAAATAAATAAATAAATAAAAATGGGCAATAAGATGAAGAGTGCTTTGGAGGAACAAGACAGTGGCCTGCGGCACTGGACCTTTCAGCTGAGACCTGATGAGAAGGAGTCAGCCAGTCATGCGAGGACCTGCAATGGGAGAGTGTCCTGGAAAGGGGAAATTTTTGTTATTGGTGGGGGTAGATCCTGGGAGTAGAGGGAGCTGGTTAATTGCTAATTCTCTCTTTTCCATCTCTATCAGAGCAAAGTACCATCTTTCCCCCTTCACTCTACATATTATTTTCATTACCATTTCCATGTCCTTAATTCTGCTCCCTGATTTCCATTAAATTACAAGAACATGAGCCTCTGCCAGCAGCAAACACATCTGGAGCCCGCTTCTAACCTCCAATGATATAAAACAAACAAAAAGTCATTGGAAAATAGAAGCTGAGAGTATTAAGATTTAGTTTTCATTATTATTAGTTCCACTCAATAATCTGGTTTGTCTGGCCCAATTACATCCCATTATCAGTACTGTTCATAGTTAGAAACTAAGTTAGAAACTCGCTCATCATTTGTTTCCATATTATCTCATAGAAAGTTCTAGTATGGGGTAAATATCTTTAGCAAAGTTGCATATTTAACTATACACTAACATAAAAATACAACAGCAAATGTGCACAAAATTTATATAGGGGCGGGGCAGGGGGGGGGGGCGAGAACCTCAGCCAAGCCTCCACCCTCTCCAATCTGGGACACCTTGGGGAATGTCTGAATGACCGTCACAATCCAGGATTGCTGGCTCCTAACCACTTGCCTGCCTTTCTGCCTGATTGCCCCTAACTGCTTCTGCCTGCCAGTCAGATTGCCCCTAGCTATTCCCCTGGCAGCCTGATTGACATCTAACTGCTCCCCAATCACCCCCAACGGCCCTCCCCTGCTGGCCCAGTCACTCCCAACTGTTCTCCCCTGCCAGCCTGATCACCCTTAACTACCCTCCCCTGCAGACCTGGTCTCCCCCAACTGCCTTCCCCTGAAGGCCTGTTCACTCTCAATTGCCCTCGCCTGCTGGCCATCTTGTGGTGGCCATCTTGTGATGACGTTGCAAGTGACACCACATAGGGTTTTATTATATAAGATAACTGAACTTGAAATTTCTTCATCATAATATTTATGTACTTCATTGCAAGTACTTATTCATCAAAAACTATAATCAGCCCCGGAGGGTTGCTCAGTGGTTAGAACATCGGCTTGGGGACTGAAGAATCATGGGTTCAATTGCCAGCCAAGGGCACATACCTCAGTTGTAGGTTCAATCCCTGGCTGTGGTCAGGGTGTGAGCTGGAGGCAACCAATGGATATGTCTCTCACATCAATGTTTCTTTCTCTCTCTCCCCTTCTCTCCCTCTCTTCTACTCTCTCAAAAAACAAACAAACAAACAAAACACCAACAAACAAACCAAAAAAAAAAAAAAAGGAAAATTATTCTAGGGTGAGGATTTAAAAAACAACTGTAATCGATAAGAGAAGGAAGAAGAGAAGCTATTTTCTGCATCATGACAAGATTGTCCAGATATCGTGCCTGGAATTCATCACAAGTGACATTTATAGTTATGTTTCCAATCACTCAGCATATAAGATTTTCCATTGCAAATGGAAATGCGCCCTGCTGTCAGTCAAAGCAGCCCAGGAAAGAATGTGTCACACAGAATGTACTCTACCTGATGTCATCTTCTGTTCCAACTGAAGGCATCTAGGTTCTTCTTGGGATTCCTTTTTTTCCTGAGTTCCAGTCAGAGAGAGAGAGAAAGAGAAAGAGAGAGAAAGAGAGAGAGAGAGAGAGAGAGAGAGAGAGAAAGAGAGAGAAAGAGAGAGAGAGAGAGAACAATGCATTCATTTAGATCAAACTTTTGCAGATCTACTAATTAATATGAGATCAAGATATGAAAAAAATTAGACCAAGCCCATTTAAAAACTGATACTTTGGAGAAGCAACAAATGCAATAATAGGTGTAAAGTAGAATAACTATGGGGGCACTAGATTACAAATTGCAGGGTGCCACATACATGGCTGTGTCCATAAATGCCGCCCTTGAGTAGTACAAGTTAGGGACCTCTGTGATTAATACCTTTGGGGGCTTCAGTTACTTAGACATGGTGGTGATGGGTTTCTCCATAAGATAGAAATTCTGCCAGTATGATACAACACAAGATAATAATGTCTTAGCTTTTATTATTCAAAGACCTAATTTCATGTACTTTGAAAATTCTATCACTACTCATAATTATTAATTTTTTAATATTTTCAGCAACTTTATTAGTAACAGTCTAAAACTGAAAACAACCCCAATGTCCTTCAATGGGTAAGTGATTAAACAAACTGTGATTCATCCATACCATGAAATACTACTGATCAATAAAAAGAAACAAATTATTGATACATACCACAGTTTGGATGAATTTGAAGGGAATTATGCTGAGTGAAAGAATGTTAATCTCGAATATTTACATAATATATGATTCTATTTATATAACATCCTTGAAATGATAAAATTGGAAAGAGAACAAATTAGTGGTTGCCAGAGGTTGGGGTTCAGGAGAAGCAGGGGATATGGCTGTGGCTTTAAAGGGTAACACAAGAGATCTGTATGATGGAACTGTCCTGCATTTTGCCATGGTGGTCACATGAATCTACTCATCTAATAAAAATGCATAAAAAAATACACATAAATACACTAGAAGGAAAAGCACAAGCATTGAGCACAAATTTTTAATTATCTCAAATTAAGTTTTCTCTTAAAGAGTTACCTATAGTTCAAAGCTCATTTCTATGAGGTGTCTATCTATCACCCTTTTAAGAGACATAAAATTATGAAAAGATACCACCAGAAGCTACCAAAACATTTCAGTTAAGGGGTAAGATAAAGCCAAAGGTATTAACATATGGAAATCTAAAGAGGACAATGAGAATGAAACAAGTTTCACATGAACATACTAATCCTTGTAAAGGAACTAGAATCAAAGCCCAAGCTGGTGAGCAAGTGGGAAAAGGAAAGAAAGCATGCTTCAAGCACAGGAGGAAACCTTGTGATCAAATGTTGGCTCTGGCATTACCTAGATAACTCCTATGTTTTGTCATAGGTGACTCTAATAATAGGCCTATTGTTGTAAAACCAGTCCAAATACTATCAAGATGAAAACAGGTCCCTCATTGATTTGTTGGGTTTAGGTGGTAACCCATGTCCTCCCACACCAAGAAAGTTCTGGCAAGAAAGTTTCAATGTGCAGTGAAGGTGGTGTTGGGAGAATGCCTCAGGCCAGGCATCTCCCAGGGACGTTCTGTTGGCTGATACAAGGTGGAAGGGTAGTAGGCATTATTACTCAATCAATTTCTTGGTCTTAAAGAAGTGCTCAAGGCAGAAGACCTGCCAATTGGCTAGTCCAATGAGGCATTGAAAAGATGCTGAAGTACAGGACCTGAGTGTTTGTTGATGCTCTGGTAACATGCATCTCCTCCACTCATTCCTTCATGTAAACAATATCATTAATGATAGATTCTGAAAGGTCTTCTAGGTTTCCTATCACCACCTCTAAATATTTGGACTTGTCAATTTTTGTGATCATTTTGTAATTTTTTTTTTTACCTCCACACCATGCTTCATGTCTAGGATCATGAATTGGTCAGGTATCCACCTTGTTTCCTTGCTCTTAAAACACACTTTGAACATGTTATAATCTTCAGTGATAATGGCAAATATCCCTTTGGTTTCATCCTCTTTGGAGCACAGAATCTGTAATCTTGAGGTGAGTGCACAGGCTATCAGCACTTCCATACTTGCTGGTGATCTCTTATGTGCTGATCACCAGCAGGTCCTTGTGGATCTCCTCATGGGGACACTTGCTAGAGTTAATGGACATATGGAAGAAGATGGTGAGAACCAAGCTGGGGCTGTGCAGAAGTAAGAGCAGTAACACTAACTTACAAGGGCCACACTGGGCTTGTGGGCCAGACAAACCAGACGGATGCTATACAATTATTTTTATCTGTAGAAAGATGGGTAAACATTTTCTATGATGATATCCTATTTTTAAAATCTTTATTGTTCAGATTATTGTTCAGATTATTACAGTTGTCCCTCTTCTCCCCCCACCATATTCCCACCCACCACAGGCCCTCACAACCCCACTGTTTACATCTATAGGTACTGCATACATGCATATAAGATCTTTGTCCAATCTCTTTCTGCACCCCACATCCCTTTCCTCCTGAGAATTGTCAGTCCACTCCATTTCCATGCCTCTGATTCTATTACAATTACCAGTTTATTCTGTTCATCAGATTTTTTATTCATTTGATTTTTAGATTCAGTTGTTAATAGATAGATACTTGTTGTCACTTTGCTGTTCATAATTTTTTATCTTTACCTTTTTCTTCTTCCTCTTCTTAAAGAATACCCTTCAGCATTTCCTACTATAATATTGTTTTGATTGTGATGAACTCCTTTAGCTTTTTCTTATCTATGAAGCTCTTTTTCTGACCTTCAATTCTAAATGATAACTTTGCTTGGTTGTAGGTTCTTGCTATTCATCACTTTGAATATTTATTGCCACTCCGGTCTGGCCTGCATAGTTTCTGTTGAGAAATCAGCTGACAGTCGTATGGGTACTCCCTTTTAGGTAACTATTTTTCTCTTGCTGCTTTTAAGATTCTCTCTTTATCCTTTGCCCTTAGCATTTTAATTATGATGTGTATTGATGTGGTCCATTTTGTATTTCTCTTGTTTGGGGTTTTCTGTGCTTCCTGGACTTGTAAGAATATTTTTTCACCAGGAAGTTTTCTGTCATCATTTCTTCAAATAGGTTTTTAATATCTTGCTCTCTCTTTTTCTGGCACCCCCATAATTCAGATCTTGGGACTCTTAAAGTTGTCCCAGAGGCTCCTTACACTATCTTCATATTTTTGGATTCTTTTTCCTTTTTTGCTCTTCTGGTTGGGTGTTTCTTGCTTCCTCATATTTCAAATATTTGACTTGATTCTTGGGATCCTTTACTATTGAATCTCTGCATGTTATTCTTTATTTCAGTCAGTGTATGCTTAATTTCTGACTGATCATTCTCCATTTTTTATTTACTTATTTATTTATTTATTCATTCATTCATTCATTTATTTATTTATTTTTTGCATTCTCACTAAGTTCCTTGAAGGAATCACTAAGTACCTTGGAAGTTTCTAGAAGATTCTTGAGTAACTTTACAACTGTGATTTTGAACTCAATATCCAGTAGTTTGCTTTCTTCCATTTCTTTCATTTGTGACATGTTTCTTTGTCTTTGCATTTTAGTTGCTTTCCTGTGTTTTTTTTCTATGTATTGGGTAGCTGCTAAGTCTCCTTGAGTTGATAAAATGGTCTTGTATAGCAGGTGTCCTATAGGGCCCAGTGGCTCAGCTTCCCCAATCACCTTTGTGGGCTGGTGCACAGTCTTGTTATAGTTAAGCCTTGATTGCTGTTGGTATCACTGGGAGGAATTGACCTCCAGGCCAATTGACTGTGAGGACTAACTGTGTTTACAATGGAAGAGCTTATGGTGCAGGACTTGCTTCAGTGGGGCTTTGGTGCTCACTGAGTCTGCCCCTTGAGTGTATTGCTTATGGATATGAAGAGTTATAATCTGGTATGGTCTCACACTGACCACTGGGTACACTGGCTCTTGGATCTTTAAGGGGGTGCAAAGTCAGCCACTGCCTGGGGTCATCTAGCAGGAGCTACAGAGAGATCTACAGATTCTTCCTCTTTGTATCAGGTTTGGAAATACCCAGGCAATGTCCACCTGTGAAGCAAGGCAGGCTGGTGCTGGTGCTGGCCTTCGGCCTTCTTTTGATAGCTCTGAGGCTCCCTGACCAAGCTGCAGCTTATTTGACATGTTTTAGGCTGAGAAAGGATAGGTCATTCATATGCAAAAGCTGCTGCATACAGCTTGGGTGGGTTGTAAATTGGGTAGGGTGGGGTCTCAGGGAATCTCCAGGGTCGAGCAAACAGCAATGGCTGCCAGTCAGCTGTGCATCAGGGATGTCCCAGCATAGGAACAATGACCATTGTGTGCACATACCTCTGGAAAAAAGTCCCCTCCCACCTCCCCACCCCCCATTCCTGCCCTTATGCTAAACAGTCCAGTTTCTCCATGTATGTGTCTGGGTCCCCCAGAATCTTGCCCAGCACTGGAACTCAGAGCAAACAGGAGCTTGTATCTCTCTCCTAATTAAAAAATAGGCACACCCAGGTGCCAGCCCATTCCATGCCTTGGCACCTCCTACCAGTCTCAATGTGCTTTCTTCTTTACCTCTCTAGTTGCAGTACTTCCAGTCACCCAGCTTTCCAGTGGTTCTGGATAATAGTTGTTAGGCATTTTAGTTGTAATTTTTATGTGGTTGTGGGAGGAAGCAAGTACAGGTGTTTACCTATGCCACCATCTTGGTTCTCTCCTAGTATGATATTCTTTAATGATAATTGTCACTGCTATAGAGTTAATATTTGAATAGGTACAGTTGGGACTAAGGGAGGTAAATTAAAAGGAAGGTTTACATGATGCTTTTTAAATTTTATCTACAAGATGGTTTTATGCTGATTCCTTCATTTATTTTTTCCTTGATTAAATATTTGTTGAGTGCCTGTTATGGGGTTATTTCTGTGGGTCTTTAATTTTTAGGCATGATCCCTTCCAAAATTACATACTTCAGCTAATCACCTACTCAGCTTCCATCCTAGGCAGGCACATTTTCTGTGC